CTTCTGTGCACGTTCCCCGGGGCATGGAGGACATCTCCAGGCTGTTGCCTGCACTCTCTGACCCGATGTTCATGGAGGAAGCGTGGCACTGATGCCCACAATTGGCTTCATCCTAAGCAAAAAGTGAAATACAAGCCTTTACCTGCTGTAGCCCCACCACGTGGCTGCCCTAGTCCTTCAAAACACTCGTGGTCTTCAGCTTGAAGGTTTAATCCAACGTCCTTCACGTCGTGGTTTATGACTCGATAAAATTGGGATGAAAAGCAAGTGCCAATCCGTGAGAGCATCTGGGGGTGGTCCCAGCAAGTGCCTCACAGCCCTGTTTCGTGGCATCCCATGACCCTAATTCCAGGGAAACCCCTTGGTAGCTCCACTGGGGGTAGGTCTCATGCCCAGGCCATGATGGAAGGCTTTAATCAAAACAGGGTCAAGAGAAGTTGGTGCATAGAATGGGCCAAAAAAACCCTGGCATAGACCGAATGGTGAGGTACTGGCACAGGTTGCCCAGAGAAGCTGTGGCTGCCCCATCCCTGGCAGTGTTCCAGGCCAGGTTGGATGGGGCTTTGGGCAACCTGGTGTAGTGGAGGGTGTCCCTGCCCATGGCAGGGGGGTTGGAACTGGATGATCTTTGAGGTCCCTTCCAACCCAAACCATTCCATGATTGTAAATCTGTAACGGAAGGAGAGTAAATCCTTTCCCCGGAGCTTGTGGAATGTGCAGACCCAGAGCTGAGCCACCCATCGGAAAGGTCCATGTGGGATGGCAAGAGGGAAATCCCCAGAGATGCACCAACCCCGCGGGCACATCGCCCGCCCTCCTGGCACAGCCACCGTGCAGAGCTTCGCAATCGATGTTGATGGGGGGAAAATAAAAAATAATTAAAAGAGCTTTAACGAAGCATGGCCTGATGGTCTCGTTTCTTAAAAAAAAAAACCCAACCCAACAGGCTTGACCTCCCTGTGGCAGCGCTCCAGCTGGTGGCACTGGCCGATGGAATCATCTGGTTGGAAGAGACCCTCAAGATCATCGAGTCCAACCGTTCCCCCTGTACTGTCAGGGTCCCTAAACTGTGTTTCTCAATGTTCCTCATGTTCCTCAACCATGTTCTCACACTTTGCATTCCAAGAGAGGAAAAAGACTCCAGGAAAAGGACAAGTTTGCTGTTTGAACGTTTTTTAGAGCAGAAGCACCAGAGACACAAAAGCCCAACCACCAGCGTACCTGAGTAGGGATTGTCCTGAGTTCTGAGGAGAGAAGGAATGAAAAGCGACGTCAAGTAGATGAGGAAAGACAGCAGCACCCTCCAGCCCCTCCGCCCTCTCCATGGCCACAGAGGATCAGCCAGAGTCAGTTCCCAAACGGGAGTGGGATCAACGCATCCTCAGGATGATCCATCTTGATCATCTGGTGGCTACATCTGCCACCATCCCGCCTACCCCTACACAAACTCAACTGCTGGTGCTTTGGCTTTGCCCAGGACCATTCTGAATCTCTCCAAGGATGGAGATTCCACCACCTCTTTGGTAACAGTTGCCAGTGCTCATCACCCTCACAGTGAAGAAGTATCTCGATGTTCAGAAGGAACCTCCTTGTGTTTCGGGGCATCTGGTCATGTAACTGGGCACCATGGAGAAGATGCTGGCTCAGTCTTCTTTGCACCCTCCTTTCAGGGATTTTTAGACATTGATGAGGTCCCCCGGAGCCTTCTCTTCTCCAGGCTGAACAGCCCCAGCTCTCTCAGCCTTTCCTCATAGGAGAAATGGTCATCTTCGTGGCCCTTTGTTGGACATTGTTCATCTATCTTCTACTGAGGAGCTCAAAACTGGATCCAGTACTCCAGGTGTGGCCTTACCAGTGCTGAGTGGAGGAGAAGGATCCCCTCCCTTGACCTGCTGGCAACACTTGGAACGCAGCCCAGGTCGTTACTCACCTTCTCGACCACGAGGACACATCGCTGCCTCGTGGTCAACTTGGTGTTGAGGCCCAAACGCCCAGCAAGGCCAGTTGGAAGGTGAATTTGGCCACCACGTACAGATAAGTCAACAAGACTGACACGAAGCCACAGGCTGCGTGTGACAATTACTGCACCCTGAGTTAAAGAGGGGGAAAAAAACCCCCAAAAAACCAAAAAAAAGCAGGATGAAAACAACTGCACATCTGGAGCTCCTGGATGCGTCCCTCAAGGTTCTGGTGTCCTGTCGGTGCCATCTGGAATGTGGGCAACCCAGTTCATAGCACTGACTGGGTTTGCAAATATAAAGTTATTTAACTTAAGGAAGACCAGTTCCCACCCAGGGACCCTGAACCTTACTGCAGTCACGGCAGAAAAGCCAAGAATGTCCAGTTTTGCCCATTTTGCCCTCGGAATTCGGTTCTTGGTCAGAAGTGGGTGCAAAGGTGGGACAGTAAGTGCTAAAAGCGAGGTTGGAAAAATCACGCAGCGATGTGCAGACTTTGGAGAAACGGGGACAGCATACTGGGCTCACACGCTGCTCCTCTGCTCCCATCTCTCTTTCCAGTTTTGTTCTTGGAAAACCACGTGTTTTTAAAGCCTATTTGCAGCTGAAGACACCCAGTTAATGCCACGGTTGAAAATGAGGGATGGTGACTCCAAGTGCCGGAGTGTTGGATAAGGGAAGCGCGGACAATTCGGGGACCCAGCTTTAGGTGGAGGGTCACATCCCACCTCGTCCTGACCCATCTCTGGACCACACCAGTGCAGCTCACCCCTCCTGGTTTCCTCCCTCCGTGTGGCGACGTGAGGATGTTCCGCAGGGCGAGGCTGTGGTTGCCATGTGCTCTTTGCAAACCTGGAGATAACGGTTCGTGTTTGGATCAGACGCTGGTCCTCAGCTTTGCAGGGAAGGGCTGGCAGGGAGAAAAGGATGGTGGGGAAGACTCCGAGGTAGGGCAGAGCTGCAGAGGGCCTGGGGAGGAAGGAGGCTGGAAAGTAGGAAATGAGAATGAATTTGAGAGTAATTAATTCAGTACGGTAAGGCCAGGTACAGGATCTCACAAACCCGGACGGGCTGATGTGGACAGCTGGATACTGGTTACCAGACACTGGGAGAGGTAAGAAGAGGCAGAGGTGGAAGCTCGGTGCACCCAGACTCCAGTTGCTTTCACTGATTCTGAGCTTCACAGAATCACACAGAATCCCATAATGTCAGGGATTGGAAGGGACCTCAAAGGATCATCTGGTCCAATCCCCCTGCTGCAGCAGGACCAGCTAGATCAGATCCCACCAGAACGTGTCCAGGTGGGTTTGGAACATCTCCAGAGAAGGAGACTCCACAACCTCTCTGGGCAGCCTGTTCCAGTGTTCTGGTACCCTTACTGGGAAGAAGTTCTTCCTCATGTTTAAGCGGAACCTCCTGTGTTCCAGCTTAGATCCATTTCCCCTTGTCCTATCGTTGGGTGCCACTGAGAAGAGCCTGGCTCCATCCTCATGGCAGTCACCCTTTCCATATTTATAAACATTAATGAGGTCCCCCCTCAGGGGGGTTGCTCCAAGCTCACGTTTCCGACGCCGCGCCGCTCTGCGGCACCGGCTCACGGCAGTGTCACTTGTAGAGGGCCATCTTCTTGCTCTGGTACATGTACATGTAGGCGTCGCAGAAGAGGCGCTTGGCCACTCCATCCATGTCCCGAGGCTGCTCCAGGGCCAGCACAGCCAGCGGCAAGTCCAGGTATTTGGCAACTTCAGGGCACAGCGTTACCGTGGGAATGTTGAAGCCGTTTTCATCACCTAACCCAGAAAGAAGGAGAAAAGTCCAAACCAGGTCCCAAGGGATGAGTACCTACAGCTCAAGCAGACACCATCACACTCAACAGTAAGGTTGTGTCTTGGCTGAGAGATCTGGAGGCCAACAACAAAGTGGGGAAGGACAGGAGAACGGTCCTCACCCACACGGCAGCCAGTCCCAGCTGACTCAAGAAGTCCCTTGTTTGAACGCTGCCAGAGGATGAAAGCACTAGGAGGAACTTCCAGGTGCTTGGCTTGGCCATACTCTTCTCTGGGACCTACCTAAACGGTCACCATGAGAAGCAGGGTCCAGAGGGAGCCTGAGTCACACAGGGGCCTCAGAAGAAAAGGTAGACCAACCACCACCTACGCAACGAGCACTGCAGACCCTCACAGCTGCCCACCGCGCAGCGCCCGGTGGCGACCAAGGCTCCGAGCCCACCACCACGTCCTCACCATGCCTGTCGGCCATGCTGTCGAAGAACATCCAGTGTTGGTTCTCGGGGCCATATTTCACAAAGGAGACGTAATGACTGGTCTCGATGCAGAGCACTGCGAAGAGCTCCATCTTCTCGCGAGGGACCTGCTGGCTGCCCCGGGGGTTCCGACTGTGAAATTCTTCTGGAATGTGCAGCCTAGTTGGCTTGTGAGCTTTGCGTTGGTAGTGGGAGTGAACCTGAGGAGAGATGATGGGGTGGCACTGCTGAGTGGGCAGAACTGAACCTGGCCTGCTAGAAAGAGCAGTGTGCAGGGGTCCCACCCTCAGTTTATTCCCCACTGATCTGACTCCCACGGTCCCTGCGTGCCAGGGAATGGCATTGTGTCAACCTGTTGGCAGCAGGGAGCTAAAGATGGGCGCCTGCCACCTTCCAAGAAAGGTCAGAAAGCTGTAGGAATGCTCCTGGTGAGGGCCCAGCACTCAGCCTGTGCAGGACCAGTGCTTGTTTAGGCTGCACGTAAGCAGAGGGTTCGGTAAGGTGTGGCACCTAACCCTGCTCATGCAGGTGGTGGGACTGATGTTCCAGAAGGGGCACCTCTGTGCCAAACCTGCAGGGGAAACGTGGGCGTTTTGGGGGGTTCAATCTGCTGTCAGCCACCAAAGCAGATGTCGTGAGCGGCCAAAGAAGATGGAATACCTGTCTGGAGCAGGAGCTGCAGAACTGCTTCAGGCCCGTGGCTGCGAATACCTTGTCTTTGAAACACTCTGAACACTCCAGGGTGGCGACATCGCCGCACACGCAGCATTCCCTGGGACCTGCAGGGGCAACAGGGGCAGAGAGGATGTGTCTTCTCCAGATCTCACCTGAAATCCAACTTGTCCTGCCAAAACTGGTGTTCTGGGAATCAGAATCATGGAATGGTTTGGGTTGGAAGGGACCTCAAAGATCATCTAGTCCCACCCCCCCTGCCATGGGCAGGGACACCTTCCACTAGATCAGGTTGCTCAAGGCCTCCTCCACCCTGCCCTTGAACACACCCTCCATCTGCCCACCACCCAAAGAGGTGAGACCTGCCACCACCCAAAGAGGTGAGACCTGTCACCTGGTTGCTCACAGTCCCAGCCGGCAGCTTTCCCACTGCCCAACAACTTACTGTCAAGCAGCAGATCTGTTATATCCAGCTCCAAGGAAGGAATGATTTTGCTGAACATTTTATATTCCTTCCCAAACCGCGGCATTTGGATAATGAAGCAAGATGGGATCTGGGAAAAGAAAGACAAACGAGTCACCCTGCCAGAAGAGACAAGCCCCAGAGACTCTTCTCTCCATATTGCTGCTGGGAGTAAAGACTTTCTGCTCCACTTATTCAGGGAGCAACTGGGAAAGCAAAGCCCGCTTCCCAGGTCACGCTACGATTCCCCAGGACCTCTCTCTTGTGGCTGTACCCTGCTTCTTGGCCATGGTGGATGTAGGACATACTGGACCCACTGCAGACTCGCTGGCAGGCACCGGTACGTTGGAGGAAGCAAGAAAGAGGCAGCAGAGAGCGGCGTAGGTGAAAGGCAGCTGGGCTCACCTCCACTAGCTTCAGGTCGGAGGACAGGAAGGAGCGTTCCACTAACTGCTGCACGTCGGGAACCACCAGATCCTCCTGTTTGTCCATAAATATCTGGTAACAGTAACAGTCCTGCTCCCTCTGGCCTCCTGACCTGCAAGGAGTGGTCACGGGGCTTGTTTACCTGGTGCCACAAACATCCAAGCTCCCAGAGGACACACTGGTTTTGTCCTTCAAGAGCTTCTGGGCCCAGGTCACCGCGGGCTGCTTGGTGCGACACCGACATGAAGCACTTTTTCCACCCAGAAACACTCAACACGTGCCATGAGAAGGGGACACAAGTCCCACCTTCAGTCTCATTATCCCTCCAGAGCATCACATCCTGCTCCTATAAGCGAAACTCAACTTCCCCACGTCGATGTAAACATGAAAAAGACACTTCGATAAAAGGTGAGTTGTGTGCAGAAGATCTCCCACCGCCCCCAGATCTCCGAGCCAGCAGAGGAAGGATTTCCTTCGGATGCCTCTCTGCAGGGGAGCTGCTGAACAGAGTCGTCTTTGTGCTCAGCCCTTCCGAGTGCTCCACCATCTACAGCTTGACTGACACCTCAACAAAGGAGCACAGAAACCCAACAATCCCCTTCTATGCTCCTGAACAGCAATTATTTTTGGCTTCCTTCAGCCTCTCATCCTCTTTGTAGAGTCCTGAAAAACTGGGACTGCATCCATGGACTGCCTGTTGGAGAGGCTGCAGGACCTGAGCCAGCTTGACAGCCTGGACACATCCCAAACGCATCCAAAGGCTGTCAGATACCGCTGGCTCTGCGCTGAAGTTGGGCACTATGTTTCTCAAACCCTTGCTGGCTCTCCCTAAGGATGAGATCAGGTTTTTATCCTCATTTTCTGATAGGCGGCATCTCCAGAGGGAGTTTAGAAGTGTCTTTTCCTGGATGTGATCCCAACAAACGAGACCACACGGACAGCAGAGAGGAGCTGCACACAACTCTCCGAGCTGCACGTCCACAACAAAAGGTACAAGGAACACCCCGTGACGGTGAGGTGGAAAACTCACGAGCCTGGCCCAGGGAAAATCGGATCACTTAGATATGGAAACTTACTGCAGTTTCAAGAGTGGCTCTATTCCCAGGATCTGATGCATGATGAGATTGAGGAACTCTTCAGGATCTGGAAGATCGGAGAAAAGCACAGGTCACACCTCACCAGGGGCACTGCCTTGCCCCGCTGCATCCAGAAGGCAAAAACTTCCAGATGAACATGAGCCAGCATTTCGGGAACCTGGAATTTTCCTTTAGGTAACGGGACAACCAGGCTAAAAGCTGAGAGCACCTGGTTAACGCACAAACCCTCGAGTGAGCACGAAAAAACCCAAACCAGCCCTCAGATCCTGGGCCATCACAGCAACACTATCTCAGAGACCCTAACGGACAGTTACTGCTGTCCAAAAGTAGAAACTCCAAAAGTAGAAACTCCAAGGGAAACCAGGGACAGCTCTGGAAATTCAAGAAAGCAAACAGTTGAACTATCCGTGGCTAAAATCTGTTATCCCTGTTCCTTGCAGGGGGGTTGGACTAGATGACCTTTGAAGGTCCCTTCCAGCCCTAACCATTCTATGATTCTATAAAATAAATATTCGGAGGTACAAAACTCAAGTGCTGTTCACTGGCAAGATACCTGCTGTTTCTGGAGTAATCAATGCCACCTGTTTCCTATCCAGGTGCTTCCAGGTTGTTGCAGTGATGTTTGGCATTGGTGGAATGTGTTTCCTTGTAGTAAAATACACGGGGTTGGGCCAGGCATGGGTGGGAATGTGGTGACAGCAAGCAGAGACTGGTGGGTTTCAGCTGGAGGTGTTTTCTGTCTCACTTAAAACTAAGAGTAAAGTCTTTGAGGATCTTCAAATAATGTACCAGAATTCCAAGCCAAGGCGGTTTTGGCAAAATGATAAATCAAGCTGGATTCTCGCAGGGACATCAGGGATGGACTTGGTAGAACTCCAAGTATAAAGGTCAAGGAAATTTCCCTCGTTTAAATTCTGCTCGCACAGATCTCCCTCTCCCCTCCTGGCAACAGCTGCCACCAGGTGGAAACCCAGCGATTCCCATCTTTCCACCAGACTTCCAATTCCAGTCGAGTTTTAAAAGCTGGCAGGATTTTCCGTGTGCATTTGTACCCAAACGAACGGCACGGCAGGAATATTAATGCACGTGCCTGGGAGAAGCACAGGATGAAGTTGTCACCGGTGCCAGGACGGGGCGGCGCAGAGCGGAGCCGAGCAGGGAAGGGCCCGGAGAGCACGTTACCTTTCTCAGCGTTGGTGAAGCTGGAACACTGGCCCTTCTCAGTCAGCTGCTCCCTCAGGTGCATCACGCTCCCAGCCCTGACAAAGCCGGTCCTAGGAACAAAAAGCAGCTGCAGGTGATCTCAGAGCACCTCCCAGTGCCTAAAGGGGCTACAGGAAAGCTGGAGAGGGGCTTTGGACAAGGGTGTGGAGTGACAGGACACAGGGTGATGGCTTTAAACTGGAAGAGGGGAGATTTCAATGGGATCTGAGGAAGAAATTCTTCCCTCTGAGGGTGCTGAGGCACTGG